CCAGGCCCAGGCCCCAGTTGCTGGAGATTGAGAACTCATTGAGATTGGAGGTCTTGGAGACCAGATCTCCCTCATAGAGGTGATGATCTGATGATGTATGATGTGATGTCCTGAACTTGCTGATAGATGATATTTGATGGACTTCTGTGTGGGAATCATGAGAGCTAGCAGCCAGTATTTTTGCAAAAGCTTGATGAGAGATCTGACAGATCAGAGCCATGCCAATTGGATCATTGCCTATCAGAACATGGAGAAGGAATGGGGGATTCAGGCTCTATGTGGTGAGGGTGAATACCTAGACTGTATGGTCTCAATGGTGGAGTGTGGAAGAGTGTCTTAATTTGGAGATGGGCATATAGCTAGAGAGCATAGGAAAATGGAACTTCCAATATGAGATGAGATGAGATGAGATGAAGCATTGGGTGCATCAAACAGCTGGCGTTGGGGTTGTGGCTGTATGTATGCAATTTCATTTGAGACCAAAGGCGGCTGCATAGACGCAACACCTGGGCATGAGAGATTGGGATCCTGACTTTGAGCAAATTGTATTGCTATACAAGCCATTGAGCAAATGCCCCAGACAGCAGCGCAATATGGATGGTGCTTCGATTGGGTTTGTTTGGCCTCCAAGAGCACATGGGCACCATGTGAGAGGGAAACTTGCTAGGCAATCAATGAGGATGGGGTCCATGGAATGCCTGGTGCAAATGGATTTGTGTGCATGATTAGGTGGCCCAATGGAAGATCAGAACCATTTGGGTACAACATTGGTTGATCCTCATGACTCATGCTATTGGTAGAGCATATTTTTGGCACAATTTATTGGTTTACTTTTGGGTGGGTGTTGGTGAGGTCCAATGAGGTTTTGAGCTTGGGTGGCATCACGAGAAAGAATGTCCTTGGTGCCCGGTTTGGTACAACCTGACTTCATGTATGTCTATGTGTGGGCAAGAAGGTTGGGGTGAAGAGAAGGTTCTTCATGAGCTTGGAATGAGTAGTGGCCACACAGCCAATTCAGACCCTTAGTGTATCTATGGCTGGATCGTTCCATGGGCTTCATAAGGTTCTTTGGAAGATTTCGTCGTAGATGCGGGGATATGGAGCATAGACCTGAAGAGCCATTGGGTGGGAACAATGGAGATGAGCAGGATTGGTCTAATGGAACTTGTGGGATAGGATGTGAACTCCCAATGCTCGCAGAATGGTTCCCTATGACCTTTGAGGATGAGGCTTATTGTGGGTATGGGCGTCAAGAAGGCCATGCAAAGCCCAATTCCAATCAGT